GGTCCGGAGAGGGAGCACGCTGAGGCTTTGCTTGTGCACTGTGCAGTTTGTGTTGGCGTTCCAGGACGTGATGGCTTCTCGTCGACGAGGTGTCGGAGTGGGCGTTGTGCAGCAGAAGAAGGATATTCAGGTAACATTCTCCCACAGCATCGCAGTTTTTATGCGTTTTGCGCCCTGTAAATGCACACAAAACGCATTGTGTCTCCACCCTGTCTGTCTGTGTGTGTGTGTCTGTTTTTCCAAGTGCGTTTTGCCTCGTACTTTCAACTGGGGAATTACAGCAGCTAGAAGCTGAAATTTTAGGTGAATGTTCCTTGCCATCGTACGACCCCGCACATTCATATTTAGCTTTCATGAATGCTCCCATAAAAGTAGTTTGGAGGAGGAATTGTTATCTCGACAAGCGCAACAGCCAGCGAGTCGAAATCTTAGTTACCGTCCCTACCCTGCTGCGCACCGCTTGTTATTCTCTTTCAGCAGCATACTCGTCTAATGAACACTCCCTCTGTGTTTACTTCTCGAGCAGTGCGTGGAAAAATGGCTGGTAGCTGGATGCATCAGCTGGGCCACTTCTGAGCAGTGCCGCTTATACGCGTTTCAGGGCAGTGCAAATGCAATCAACGCACCAGGTTTGCCGGTGCGATCACGCATTTTTGCGCGAAATTTGCAGCAGCCGGATGTTTAATAGCAGGAAGGTTTATCCGTTGTGGTTTGACACGTGGACTCACTCATTTTGGCAGGGGTTTGGCTTTTTCCTGCGTGCAGGAAAAAGAGGCGTCAGCTGAGATGGTAGTATTGCATCATCATGAAGCCGTGTGAACCTCCAACGTGCTTGAACATCATTTTTTTTTTCGCATAAATCCCGTTCGTTTTTTCGGTGAGCGGTTGTCCGTCGTAATGTGCAATTTTGAACATGTACAGGACGTCGGAAGAGGATTACAAAATCGGTAAAGCGGGCTTGCTTTTAAGCTTACGATAAAATTGAGTATTTGTCATTCTGTACGAAGGGAACTTAGCCTCTACGCTGTTTTAGAAAGTTTTGTTTGGGTAACACATCAATACAGAATGTCCTTGCAACTTATAGCCTTTCAGCTTTTCCAGTAAGCGAAATAGCTACTTCGTCGCAAATATTTTTAAAGTGCCTTAAGTCATGGTGCAAGTGCAAAGCTAAACTTAAATTAGGTACACGATTCCCCAGATAAATGGTAAATATTCTGACAAATTTCCAGTTGCTGTCGTTCGGTTGGGTTTCGAATTGCCACAGTGCCACTGCGAACTTTGACATTACTGTATGTGTGGTGTAGACGTGCGTGATAGCGGGGTTTGAAATATTTAGCTCCCACATGGATATGAAGCATCACTGTGAAATTTAAACTTTCTAGCTTGTCTTATTCTCGAAATCATTTCCCCGCCCCAAAATCCGCGTATTTTTCTAGCATCTGCATGTGAGATCCAGAAGTTTCAGAGCAATAATTTCAGTTTGCAAGAATTACAATGGAAACATGCCCTCAACTCTGCGCTTCCTCAGGGACGCAACACCAGCCTTCACACTCATCTGAGCTCCGCCTAGGAGAGCTGATGGAAAAATTGCTAACACGAAAAAAATCGGAAAAGCTGAAGTGTTGGAATTTTGAGGAGGTGTCTGCTG